GTGGTGGTGGTGGGAGCCTCTCCTGCCTCCGCGGCAGCACTAAGGATGGGCCATCAGTCGGACATCCCCTGAGGGCTCCCGGATTGCAAAAGGGTGCAGGCTGGGCTGAGGGACAACCCCTCCTCTTAGTGCACGAATGTCATGCACTGGGCCTTTAGTTGTCATCTCCAACCCTAAGGTCACCTAGATTTTCTCCAATGTTATCTTTGTATAATATTTTTTATGGACATCTGTAATCCATTTAAAACATTTTTCTTTATTGTTGAAACTATTACAGATGTCCCATTTTTCTCCATTGACTCCCTCCACCCTGCGTCTGCCACCCTCTACCCTCCCGGGCCTTTACCACACTGTTGAATGTGTCCATGGGTTATGCATATAAGTTTTTTGGTTAATCTCTTCCCACCCACCCACCCACTCACCCCTACCTTCCCTCTGAGATTCGACAGTCTGTCCCATGCTTCTGTATCTCTGGATCTATTTTGTTCATCACTTTATTTTGTTCTTTAGATTGTAATCCATTTTGAGTTCATTTTTATGAAAGGTGTAAGGTCTGTATCTAAATTTTTTGTTTTGTCTTATATGTGGCTGTCCATTGGTTCTAGCACCATTTGGTGAAAAGGCTATTTTTTCTCCATTGAATTGCTTTTGTTCCTTTGTCAAAGATTAGTTGACTATATTTTGTGTGTGCCTATTTCTGGACTCTCTATTCCATTTCATTGATTTATTTTTGTCTATATAACACTGTCTTGATTACTGTAGCTTTATCTAATGTCTTGACATTGAATAGTGTCAGTCTTCCAACTTTTTCTCCTTCAGTATTGAGTTGACTATTCTGTTTTTTGGGTGTGTTTTTTGCCTTTCTATATAAACTTTATCATCAGTTTGTTGATATCCACAAAATAATTTGCTAGGATTTCACTGAATGTATAGATCAAGTTGGGAAAATTTGACATCTTAATAATACTGTTTCCTATTCATGAACATGGACAATCTCTCCATTTATTTGAATCTCTTTGGTTTTTTTTTATCAGATTTTTATAGTTTTCTTTATATAGATTTTGTACATTTTTTTTTAGGTTTGTACCTAAGTATTTCATTTTTTATGCTAATGTAACTGCTATTGTGTTTTTTAATTTCAAATTCTAATTGTTTCTTGCTGTTATATAAGAAAGCAGTTGACAAAAAAAGCAATTGACTTTTATGTATTAACCTTGTATCATGCAAACTTGCCACAATATAAGTTCCAGGAGGTTTTTTTAAAATATATTTTTGGAAGGTGGGAGCTTGATTTTGTGAAATTTTTCTGCATAGACAATCACATCACCTGTAAGCAAAGGTGATTTCATTTTTTCTTTCCTAATCTGTATAGCTTTTATTTACTTTTCTTGCCTTATTGCATAACTAGAACTTCTAGCACATAATGGAGTGATGAAAGAGGACATCCTTGTCTTGTTCTCCAACTTAAAGAGAAAGCATCTGGTTTCTCACTATAAGTATGATGTTAGCTGTAGGTTTTTGGCAAATGTTCTTTACCAAGTTGAGGAAGATCTCTTTTATGCCTAGTTTGCTGAGAGTATGTATTATAAATGGGTGTTGATATTTGTCAAATATTGTTTCAGCATCTATTGATATGATTATATGATTTTTCTTCTTTAGCCAAGTTCATGTGGTAAATGCCATTAATTGATTATTGAATGTCAAACCTCCCTTGTATACCTAGAATAAATTCCATTTGCTCATGGTATATAACTCTTTTTTAAATTTTTTTCTATTGATTTCAGAGAGGAAGGGAGAGGGGGGGAGAGATAGAAACATCAATGATAAGAGAGAATCATTGATTGGCTGCCTCCTGCATGCCCCACACTGGGGGTTGAGCCTGCAACCTGGGCTTATGCCCTGACTAAGACTCAAACCATGACCTCCAGGTCATAGGTCAATGCTCAGCCACTGAGCCATGCCAGCCGGACTGTGGTGTATAATTCTTATACATTGTTGGATTTGATTTACTATAATTTTGTTGAAGGACTTACATGTGAGATATTGATCTATAATTTTCCTTTCTAGTCATGCCTTTGTCTGGCTTTGGTATTGGGTGTTGCTGGTCCTCATCGAATGAGTTAGGAAGTTCTTTTATGTTTTGGATAAGATTTTTAAAGAACTAGCTTTATTACTTAAATATTTTCTAAAATTCACCAGTGACACTTTCTGGACCTGTGCTTTCTGTTTGGGAAGATTATTAATTATTGTTCTAAAAATATATTCATTATCTGTTTCTCCTACAGTGAATTTTGGTAGATTGTCTTTCAATTAATTGGTCCATTAATCTAAGTTATCAAATTGGTGGGCATAGAGTATTAGTGTAATGTTCATGGAATCAGTTGTGATGGCTCCCTTTCATTTCTCATATTAATAATTTATATCTTCTCTCTTTTTTCTTGATTAGCCTGGCTAGAGTTTTAACAATTTTATTGACCCTTAAAAAAAACCAGCTCTTGGTTTTATGTATTTTATTATTTTCTCCATTGAATTTACTCTTTTGGGGTTCACCAGCATTTTGAATATGTAGATTTATTTCTTTTGCCTAATTTGGGAAATTGTAACCATTATTTTAATGAGTACTTTTTTATTCCTGCCCTCTGTCTTCTTTCCTTCTGATACTTAATAACAAAAGTTAAATCTTTTGGTGTAGTTCCACAGATCCTCAAGGCTCTGTTCATTTTTTACAGTTTATTTTCTCTCTGGTGTTTAGATTAGACAGTTTCTATTCTATCTTTTAGCTTAAAGATTCCTTTCCCTATTTTCTACATCCTGCTCTTGAGTTCATTTACTGAGTTTTTTTGCGTGTTATTTTCTGTTTTACCATTTCTATTTGATTCTTTATATCTTCAATTTTTTTTTTTTACTAATACTTTCTGTTTCTTTGTCAAGATGTTCTATTTTTTTTTTTCTTTTCAGTTTTTTCAAACATGTCCTTAATTGCTAATGAAGGAAGCATTTTAATGATGGCTGCTCCCAGGTCTTTGTCAGATAATTTTGGCATTCTGTCATCTCAGTATTGGCATCTATTGATTATCCTTTTTCATTTACTTTGACATCCTTCTGGTTTTGATATGAGTGATTTTTTATTTAAACTTACACCTTTTGGGTATCTATACTAATAAAGGGTAATATGCTAATTAGACTGGGAGACCTTCCGAACGTCCTTCCGGACAAAGCCATGGTGGTGGGGCCGAGGCAGAGGCGGTTAGGGGTGATCAGGCCAGGAGGGGAGGGCAATTGGGGGTGAGTAGGCCGGCGGGGGGGGGCAATTGGGGGCAAGCAGGCCAGCAAGGGGGGGCAGTGGGAGCTATCAGGCTGGCAGGCAGAGTGGTTAGGGGCTATCAGGCAGGCAGGCAGGTGAGCAGTTAGGAGCCAGTGGTCCCGGATTGCAAGACGGATCCCAGATTGGAGAGGTTGCAAGCCGGGCTGAGGGACACATTCCCCCCCCCCCCACCCCCCGCCCCTGTGCATGAATTTTGTGCACCAGGCCACTAGTTATAAGTCTCTGGATCTTATTTTAGCCTCTGTTTTACCTGGCTTCCTCTGATACCTCTCTGTCTGGTAGGGGAAGGAAAGGTGGCATCTCATTACTGCCAGGAGGTGTAGAAGTCCAGGTTCCCAATCTGCTTCCGTTGACACCCAGCTGGTGTGTGTGTGTGTGTGTGTGTGTGTATGTGTGTGTGTGCCTCTGTGTGAGCACGCTCATTACTGCTGGCCAGCAGTTGGAGCTCTCCACTAGACCTCCACTGATATTTACCTGGCTGAGAGGAGTAGGCGTAGGAGTGCCTTGATTGCCCTCACATGGCTCCCACTGATATCATGGGGTTAGGGTGGCCTATTTGTGTTTCATAGTAGTGAAGTTTCTGACTCACAACTAGGCCTTCTCTGATATAACCCGGCAGAGAGGGAGAGGGTGATATTATGACTTCTGCAAGTCCAGGCTCCGCCTGTGGTGTCCACTGACACTGTAGGGGGCTTGGTTGGTTACTGCCTGGAAGGGATGAAAATCTCAGGTCTGAATCTGCGAGATATTAGAGCAGCGGTTCTCAGCCTGTGGGTCGCGACCCCTTTGACTGTCGAACGACCCTTTCACAGGGTCGCCTAAGACCATCCTGCATATCAGATATTTCCATTATGATTCATAACAGTAGCAACATTACAGTTATGAAGTAGTAACAAAAATAATTTTATGGTTGGGTCACAACATGAGGAACTGTATTTAAAGGGCCAGAAGGTTGAGAACCACTGTATTAGAGCATCTTGGTTCAGTTTGGCAAGGATAGAAATGTACTCTTTGTTTCTATTGATTTGCCTATTCTGGACTTTTCATATCAGTGGAGTCTGTGGCATTTTTAATCTGGTTTCTTTCACTTAGCATAATGTTATCAATGTTGTTGCATATATCAGTACTTCATTTCTTCTTATTGCCAAATAATATTCTATCGCGTAGATGTGCCACATTTTATTCCTCTATCAGTGATGGACATTTGGATTGATTCCTCTGTGGTTGTTATAAGTAATGCTGCTATGAACATTCATATTCAGGTTTCTGTGTGGGCATGTTTTCAATTCTCTTGGGTATACATACCTAGAAGTGGGATTGCTAGGTCCTGTGGTAACTCTGTGTTTAACATTTTGAGAACTCCATTTCTTTTCTGTTATTCATTTTCCCTTACTGTGTTGTGATGTTAGGAAAGGGTTGTGAGGTATTTTGTAGTTTCTTTTGGGTTCTTAGAAAGAACTGTCCCCAGACTTTAGATTTATTTATTCTCTTTTTCTTACATCTGTACTCTTTTCATTAAAATTATGGGTGCTTATAATTAAGTTATTCAACAGATAAGTTAGATGAGTATTAAAGTGCTTTAAGCCATTATTTATTTTGAAACATTATGAATGTATAATTATTCATAGCCATGACTTTTATATTAATAAATTTTTCTGTGCTTTTAATTATTTAGAAAAAAGAAAGTGAGTGTCTGCAATTAAATATTTTGGTGCTTCGAAATGAACTGGAAAGACAAAAGAAAGCTTTGGGACGGGAGATGGCATTACTGCATAAGCAACAAATTGCATTACAGGACAAAGGTAAGTAAAAACACCTTGCAGATTGTCTAACTCCCGCATTTACATTTTTCTTTCTTCATAGGCTCAAATAGTTATCTTTGTGTAAATATGCTGATATAACTTAAAATTTTTTTGAAGTATTTTGAAGATTCATACAGAAAAATATACAAATGTATGCACACACACTATACTTCAAAGTGAAAATACCTATGTAAGCTAAATCCTCATCAAGAAACTGCATATGAAGACCTCAGCATCTCAGAAGCTTCCTGATGCTCCCTCCATTCCGTACATCTCAGCCAGACTAACTGCCACGTTGACTTCCTAGACCAAACATTGATTTTGCCTAATTTCGAACTTTATACAAATAGAATCACATAATATGTACATTTTATCTTCTGGCTTTACTTCAACATTTGTTTGTAAAATTCATTTCTACCTGCATGTAATAACAGTCTTTTTCTTACTGTCAGTAGTATCCCATTGTATGAATATGAATTTATTCTTGCTTTTGGCATTTTAGTAATTTCTAGGTTAGGACTATTATAGATATTGCTTCCATGAATGTTATAGTACATGTTTTTTAATGAAGGTTTTTTTGTTTTTGTTTTTGCATTTCTGTTGGATATAAACCTAGGAGCAAGCTTTCTGAAGTGGTTGTGACAGTTTATCTCCTTTCAATCCAGCAATATACTGTCCTATATCCTTGTCTCTTGTCCTGTATCCTTGTCAGCATTTGGTACTCTCTGTCTTTTGTGTTTTAGCCTTCCTGGTGTATATGTTGTAGTATCTCCTCGCAGTTTTAATTTTTATTTCCCTGCAGACTAATGAACTTGAACATTATTTCATATGTTTCTTGCTGATTGGGATTCACTTGTTTGTAAAGTACCTGTTGAAGCCTTTTGCCCATTTTTTGGGGTGTGGGGGGGTTGACAACTTTTTCCATAGGAGTTCTTGATATATAATGGATATGGGTTCTTTGTTTGAAATATGCATTAAACATATATTCTCTCATTCTGTGGCTTGCTAGTTCATTTTTTAATGATACCTTTACAGGAACTAAAGTTCCATTTTATCAGTCTTTTTTTTTTTTTTTTTTTTAACTTAAGGCTTTTTTGTGATCAATATAGGAAGTATTTGCCTACTTGAATGTCACAAAGATCTTTCTCTGTGTTTTCTCTTAAGTGATTTACTTTTGTACTTTTTACATGTATATCTATAATTCATCAGGGATTGATTTTTTGTGTATGATGTAAGGTAAGAGTCAAGATTCTTTTTTTTTTCATATAGTCAGTTGACCCATCACATTTATTGAAAACCATCTGTTCTCCATTGCACTGCAGTTTCACTTTTATCATAAACCAGGTGACCATATACTGGCATGTCTGGTGCATTGACCTATTTTCCTGTTCTTTTGCCATCATCTCAGTGTTTTAATTTCTCTCAAGTTATAATTGATCTTGCTATCAAAGTTCTTCCGCTTAGTTGTTCTGCAAGATCATCTTCTTTATTCTTGTCCTTTTGCATTTTCATATGAATGTCTGCACAGAAAAGAAAATCTTGCTAGGATTTTCCGTAGGACTACAGTGGGGCCTTGACTTATGAGTGTCCCGACTAACGAGTTTTTTGAGATACCAGCTGTCTCTCGGCCGATTTTTTGCATTGAGTTGACAGAGTAATTTGAGTTAACAAGCTCCTTAACAAGCTTGGTCTCGGAATGAATTAAACTCGTAAGTCAAGGCCCACTGTACATTTAATATATTTATCAATACAATTGGGGGATTATAGATGATTTACAATGAGTCTTCTAAAACCAGAAAAGGGTATATGCCTTTATTAGATCTTCTTTGTAAAACACTGAAATTAACTAACTTTGGTATGTGGATATTTCCCATGATTTATTGAACTTACTTTTTTTTTTTTTTTTTTTGATGTTTTATGATACTGTTGTAAACATCTTTAAATTTTATTTTCTACTTGTTGCTGAAATTTAGAAATAACACTGATTTTTTCAGTGGTAATGATTTTTATTATATATGCAAAGAAAAATTCCCCAAAAGTCTTAGGGACAAATTAACAGTTGCTAATGTTAGGGTAATGGCCCTGCAGCTGCAGCACTCACGCTGGTTATTTATATATTTACATTGTAAGTCAATTATATTTATATTTAAATCTAGTATTTAATGAATCTTGAGCCAAGTTAAAATTTTTTAAAAGCACTTGAGTCCCTGATATTGATAACATGAAGGAGAAAAATGTATTTTTCACTTGCTTTTGCAGCATTGATGTAGTGTGTTTGCTAGCCAGTAGTGAAATGGTTTGCTAATATGAATATTACTAGTAACTTCTTACATAGTAAGACTGCTCTTTGGCACTTGATGCTTATCTAGGCACTTGGTTCTTAGCCCAAGAGCTCAGTGAGGATACCAAGTCAGTAATATATGATATTTAATCTTTGCTACTGATTTTTCTGAATGACCATAAAGGAATTACTTAACCAGTGCATCTTTATACACATCTGTGCAGTAAGGATAGCAGCTCATAACAGTGCCATAGGGATTAATTTGTGTAAACATTTGGAAGAAACCAGGTGCCTGATACGTATTTTATGTTTTTGTTTATAAAATTCATTTCAGCAGGATGATTTATTGGAAAGAACAAAAAAGATAATTTTTATCCATGCTGCCGAGCGGCCACATTACTCTGAGGGGCCTTGTTACTCCATACCCATAAGTTTCTCATTCCCATACCTCAAAGGCAGTGGTTCACAACTTGTGGTCTACAGCAACTTCCAGCTGGGTCATGAGCTGAACTTTTCAATATTAATGTTTATTAATGTATATATTTTCATTTCTGGCAGATATTAGTAGTTTAACTTATGACGTTTAATAAAAAACAGATTTCCCCTCATTAGTGTCCCAAGCTGGATAACCTTTACATTAAATAATTATATGTTGGTTTACAGGGTCTTTTGCCCTAACGTAACCCCCAAATCTTTGGGAAGCAGCAACACTTTATCTAAATTAGTTTGCTTGAAATTTTGTTTAGAAAATGGTATGAAACATTGATCTTGAGGAAATGTGTTTAGTAGAATCTAAATACATTTTATAAATGTTGATAAAATTCAAGAACTGAGGACAGTGGTGCCTGGGGAGTGATATTAACTTTTCAAATCCAGAATTCCCTAATCTTTGTAGAAAGAAGCTACTTTTTAATGCAATTATTTCTTGATAGTAACAATAACATATGTAGTTCTTTATACTTAGAAAGTGCTTGTAGAAAGGTTACCATATTTGATCCTTAAAGCAATCCTGAAAGCTAAGTGTGGCAAATATTGTTACTTTCATTTATATATGAGATTCTGAGATGGTAAGTGACTTGGCCAGCTACAGACAGACAGTTGGAAACCAAGTTGAGATGTTGTGTCCCCAAATTCTGTGCTTTTCTCACTGTTCCATACTACTTAAAGCCTTGCAGAATACATGTATTTGAAGCCTACATAAATCCTATGAAACAGATAACTTTTATCAAGATCCTGTAATATGCCAGATATTTCACTTACGGGATATCATTTCAATCTTAAGGCAGTCCTAGGGATCATAACTTTTACCTTTTTTTCCTGGGGTAAAGAACTGGGACTCAGAGACATTTCCTAAGGTCACACAAATAAATAACAGGTCCAAATTCAGATTTAGATTTCTTTGATTCCAAAGTTTATTTTGTTTCTACTAAGCATAATATCATTATTCCTTTCTCTAGTATGTGTCAAGCAAATAAACTGACTGATGCTTTGCTAGTTTTCCATTTGGCCTGTGGACTAACAGATGGAGAACTTTGTTCTGTTGTGTTCCTTTTTATTACAGGGTGGGTGAAATGAGTTTCCCAATGATTTCTTTGATTTGGTCGTAGAGATTGGAATTAAAGATCTGCTGTTCTCTCAGTTTGTCTTTAGCTAAGTCTTTCAACTTTTTTGGACATATTTCCTTTTTACAAACAAATCAAATAAAAATTTGAAATAAATAGTCAAGATTTCTTACAGCTCTGAGATTCTACTTGTCTCAGGAGGATAGGGGCAGAAAAGATGGGAATTTGTTCACCTGTTTTATGAATTTCTAGTTTTCAAAGTAAGATTCTCTGGCCCAAGTATGTCTATAGATGGCATTTGTTCACTAGAAAGCCATTTGATGGACCCACCTCTTGGAATTTTGTAACTAGCTATATTCAACTTCTATTTTACAGATTCTTTACTTCGTTTTGGTAAGCAAGCGCAAAAACAAATACATTGTTTTAGTGACATTGTGTGTAAAAGATATAAGATTTCATTGCTCAGATTTGGAGAAAGCAGTTCTTCTTGGCAATTCCAGTGAATGAAATGTTTAGATTTTTTTTATCACCAAAATAAGAAATGTTTTATATTACTTTCCCAGTACTTACGATTTCTTTTGTCATTTTATAATAAAGTTTAGTAATTAAGGTGAACTATTTATCTAGTTTGTTCTATTTAATTAGATTTTGACTTGGTCAACAACTTAGTCTGTTCTTTTAGCCTGCATCTCAAATAAAAGAAGACTCATATAGTATATTTAAATCGGTACTTAAAGTTTCTGTCAAAGGTCCCCTAGATTGTTATTGGAAGTTGTAAAGATATTTTATTAAGTATTATGTAATAGTTTTCTTCTTTTATGTCATAAGGTCACAAATTGAAAAATTACACCTCACAAATTTTATAATTCAAGATATATTTATTTGAAATGATGGTAAAATTTAAATTTTATTAGTCTCTGTGTGTGTTCTGATGTTTTTAGAGCCATCTGACAGAAATTCCTAAATAGACTTCCTTAAAAATTATTAATATCTGCCTTTCAAAAATTTTTGAACCTGGGGACAATTTTCTCCTGTAATTTATGCTATTAAAGTTTCTTTACTTTCAGCTATTGGTATTGAATGCAGCTTGTGAAAGGCAGTAAAAGCCAGACAACTTGGTGGTTGTGAGAGTAAATGTGGGTCCTCAGTAAACCTCA